AAAGAATTTCTGAATAAAATAATTTTTGTCTCAAGAAAAATACACAAAGCTGTGATCTTGAAAATGCTTTTAATTCAGTAAATATATTTGTCCTTGTTAGCACATTTTAATTGTGATGTATAACCAGATGTCAGTTGTTTTGATTTAATAAGATCAGATTAATGAAGGAAAAAGGAAGACTAAAATCAACTAGGTCTTTTATACATGACAACAAAGCCAACCTTATAAATGAGTTGAGCTAAATGTCACTTAAATATTGAACAATAGTTACAGATTGATGGGCTTGTAGCAGCAAGAAAATGCCACCTGGTTCGTAGAAGGCACCCAGAGGATAAATGGTCATTACCAATTGATCGGGTAAGAACTAGGGCAATAGCCATTGATGTTAACAATAGGCACTAATATTAATAGACACTAATAGCTTAGACTAAAAGTATGCACAATGCTGCATAACTGAATGAATGTCTAAAAATACAAAATATTGCCCTTAAATCATGTTCAACAAGAGACTTCATTGTAATAGAGTTCCCAGCTTCACATGTTGATTTTCAGTGGCACCCAGAAACCCTGAGTTTCATTAAACTTCCCTTACAAACTGTAAGATTATTGAAAGAAGGTTGCAAAGAAATGCACATATTTATAATCTTAGTCTTGTCATTTTCCCAGTTTCTTACTGTGGGAGGTAATAATTTAGGTAATTTTTGCTCTGTTTCAATTTTCTGAATGATAATTTCTTTGTGATGACAATGAGGAAAGAAAAACAGATAGAAAACTTTCACATCTTATAGGCATTTCACGTACCTCATTTTTTATAAATAGTCAATCCTAAAAATTTCTAGAGGAGATTCAAGATGCTTGTGACAATGCCAAAAAGTTAAAATGCAAAAGTAACTTCAGATAACCAGTAGATGGACTGAAAAGGCACTCAAGACATTTTAAAGAATATGTTGCTATCTTAGTAACATATTGGCTAATAAATATCAGTAATTTAGAATACACTGATTGAGGCTTTTTCTCTTCATTTAGCTAATTCTTAAACATAGCTGATGCCATACAGTGTATCCTTTGCTAAACAAAAAGAATGCTAGCAAAGATCATCCTGGGGTTATCTTCGAGGGCAATAAAGAATTTGATTGCTGATATGTGTCAGAATTTGCATGATTTACACTCTGGCAAAATTAAGATGAAATAGCTTTTCCAAAATCTAAAGCAAGGTTTTCAGGGCTAGACTTCTATCATACACTAGGGCTTCCCAGCAGGGTATAGTAGTTCATTCAAAACACAACAAAGAGGCCTGAGGAAAGACTGGAAACCTAGCAACTAGGAAAAGATTGGAGTAAGAGACTCTGCCACATACAGGTGGAAGGGCTTGGTTACGTCGGGGAGCCCCAGAGCCAGTGTGGACATTAAGGCCGTTTTGATGTTGTTAAAAGCCTGTTGTTCTTCCTTTCCCCACTTGAAAGGCTGACTGTTCTTAGTGAGGGGATATAACGGGGCTGCCATCTCAGCAAAACCAGGTATCCATAGGCGGCAGAACCTGGCAGTACCTAAAAGTTCTCTGACTTGCCTTGGATTAGTGGGTGGTGGAATATGAAACACTGTCTCTTTTCTGGCCTCTGACAACCATCGTTTCCCATCTTTAAGGAGGTACCCCAGGTAACTGACCTGTCGCTTGCAGATCTGAGCCTTTTTGGCAGAGGCACAGTAGCCTAGTTCTCCCAACTCTGTGAGGAGACACTTTGTTCCTTCCAGACACAGTTCTTTGTCGGCCGCTGCCAGGAGGAGATCGTCTACATACTGCAACAGAGTTACCTCGGGGTTAGAGGCCCGGAACACAGCCAAGTCTTGGTGGAGGGCCTCGTCAAAGATGGCGGGCAAAAGAGCTGGAATCAGCCCAAATGTCCATCATCGGATGAGTGGATACGGAAAATATGGTATATCTACACAATGGAATACTACTCAGCTATAAAAACAAATGAAATACTGCCATTTGCAACAACATGGATGGACCTTGAGAGAATAATATTGAGTGAAACGAGTCAGGCAGAGAAAAAGAAATACCACGTTTTCACTTATTGAAGGGAGCTAAAGGCTGCCAATAACAAAATGCAATAGAC